CTCTCTCGCCCTCTCCCTTTTCCACCCCCCCTCTCTCTCCCTCCCCACCCCTCTACTCTATCTCCCTCCTCTTCTCCCTCTTCCCCTCTCTCACTCCCATCTAATGATCTCCTTCTCCCCCTCCCCCCCTCCCTCTCTCCGTCTATCTGCTACCCTCCTCTCTCTTTCTCTCTCTCTCTCTCTCTCTCTCTCTCTATGTTTCTGTCTCTGTATAGATCTAAATAGATTTAGGCGACAGTATGAGTAGAGTGTATTGTCGAGAACCATCTGTCATCTGGGTAAACAAAGTTCATTCACACTGGTGAGTTTCCTTTGGGACCTGCCAGTATAACAATTTGAGGGTGGGGGGGGGGGGGGGATTTTTAGACACTTGGACAAGCTAGAAGTTCTGACATGTTACATGTGCATTATATTTGTCCAGGATAAAGACAGGATGTTGAGGACTCATGCCATCCCCCCCACCATCTCTGGCAGAGGACCAGCCGCGGAGGACTCAAAGTGAGGCGTCTCTAACGGACCACAAAGGTTAGTTTTTGTTTCAGTGTCCAAAATTTAAGTACAGTGTGTGTGGGAAGTGTTCTTATTCAAAAGTTTTCCAAGGACTGGCAGTCCCGCAGGAAATGCAGTCCGTACTGTTGTAACTAGAAAAGTAACGCACATTCTGACAACTGTAGATATTCCATTTTCTGGAGCGTACCGGTATCCTACCTACCGTGTGACCTTGTATTTTTCCACAAGCATTGCTCTCCGTTAAAACCTAGCTCCTAATTCTGCGGCTGGAGGGAGAGTGCAAGTTAACTTGAGCGAGTTGCGGCTAAAGCGTAGAAATCAAGGTGTAAAGACTGCTACAGTAGTTTTCTCCCGCTTTCTGTTTTCTCAGAGTACATGGTGTTTCAAGAGATGTATTCCGGAACATCCTCGAGTCATGCAGGACCAGCCAAGAGAAAAGGTGAGAATGGCTAGGTTATTTGTCTTCTTTGCTTTTCAAGTACGTTGATGTGAGTGGAGAGTATTATTATGCGTGGGAAAAACTACAGTTTTCTGTGAGAAATTACGGCAACGCATGTTCTGAAATGTTTCCATATTTCGGTTTCTTTAACTTGGCGCTCCTACGGAGGGATCCGTTTCTTGAGAGCGCCCTACCTTCCTCATGACCTCGTATTTTTCCACAAGCGCTGTACTCCGCGGAAACCTAGTTCTATTGCGAAACGGAAATTGCCCGAGTAGCGGGGAAAGACTAGAAGTCAGACTGCAAAGAGTTTCATTTTAGGGAAGTTCCTCAGTTGTCTTCTATTTTCTGTTTTCCCAGAATACCTCTTGTGTCAAGGGATTTCTTCTGGATGGAAGAGCATCGAGTCCTTTAAGAACAGCCTAGAGAAAAGGTGAGAACCTTGCAATATTCTTTGCCTTCTTTTCTCTTGCAGTATACTGATGGTAAATGTTAGAGGGCTATAATTTGGAAGACTGATGATCAGCCCCTAAGACTAGCAAGCTGCAGTCAATGATGAAATAGGCTATACCACAGTTTTCAGTCGGCAGAGACAGCACCTAAGCCTAGCAAGCTGCTGCCGACAAGTAGGCCCAGGAATAATCTTTCTGACATTGCGATGAGTGAAACTGATGGTAAATGTTAAAGGGCTATAAATAGGAAGACTGATGATCAGCCCCTAAGACTAGCAAGCTGCAGTCACTGATGAAATAGGCTGTGTGTAGAGTGGGCAGAAACAGCACCTAAGAGTAGCAAAGCTGCTGCCCACTATAAAACCGCAGTAGATGAAGATTGGTCTGTGATCAGAGGGGAGGGGTGGATGGGAACTACTGTAGCTGACACTATGCAAGTGAAAGATAGGTGGTTATCTTGTCGACGTATTGAATAACATAATATGTATTCTGGCAATGACTGTCGTGGTGAGTATTTCAGACACCGTTGGTTTCATTTCCCTTTGCGAAGTTCAACATTTCTCCTTTTTCCTGTTTGAGCTGGCCATGTAAGTTGGCCCATTGTTGTTTTTGAACTTCGCTGAAATTTGCATGCAAATTTTCTCCACAGCTTGTCGGGTGTTTAAAATGTCGCAAAAGAATAATAGAATTCTCTTAACTTGAGAGGTTTGAAACTATAAAATTTTGAAACGATGACTTAATTGATGCTAAGTGGCAGTGCCAATAATCTAGCCTATGAGTAAACTTGAAGCCAATCTTGTGTTGCTTTGGAATTGACTGCATAAGCCCCTAATCTCAGCAAGCTGCAGTCAATGATGAAATAGAATTGTGCATCTACAGTACAGCAGGCAGAGACAGCACCTAAAGTTTAGAAAGCTGCTGCCTGCAGAACCTGAAGAGGTGAAGATTGTTGGCTTTACTTTGACTGGCGACCTGCTCTGCGTAAAATACAAAGACATTACTACGAGGCTAAAGCAGTTGCAGTTTTCTTGTAGACATTTCAAAGTCCACTCATGGAAGGCTAGGCCATAACCGTTGCCAGAAACACCACCTTGGACTGGTAGTAACCCCATGCCTTTGTATGAATTCTTTTTCCGAGAGCGGATGCTGAGGACTCATGCCCTTCCCCCTACCAGCCGCGGAGGACCCAAAGGGAAGCGTCTCTAACGGACCACAAAGGTTAGTTTTTGTTGCAGTGTCCGAAGAGGAAGTAAAAGATGGGTTGGGTGTGGTGGAATTGGAAAGTTTTCCAAAGACTGAAAATCCCGTGCTAAAATACGATCCCTTCTGTTGTAACTAGAACGGTAGTGACGCACATTCTGACGTCTGTAGATATTCCATTTTCTGGAGCGTACCGGTATCCTACCTACCGTGTGACCTTGTATTTTTCCACAAGCATTGCTCTCCGTTAAAACATAGCTCCTAATTCTGCGGCTGGAGGGAGAGTGCAAGTTAACTTGAGCGAGATGCGGCTAAAGCGTAGAAATCAAGGTGTAAAGACTGCTACAGTAGTTTTCTCCCGCTTTCTGTTTTCTCAGAGTACATGGTGTTTCAAGAGATGTATTCCGGAACATCCTCGAGTCATGCAGGACCAGCCAAGAGAAAAGGTGAGAATGGCTAGGTTATTTGTCTTCTTTGCTTTTCAAGTACGTTGATGTGAGTGGAGAGTATTATTATGCGTGGGAAAAACTACAGTTTTCTGTGAGAAATTACGGCAACGCATGTTCTGAAATGTTTCCATATTTCGGTTTCTTTAACTTGGCGCTCCTACGGAGGGATCCGTTTCTTGAGAGCGCCCTACCTTCCTCATGACCTCGTATTTTTCCACAAGCGCTGTACTCCGCGGAAACCTAGTTCTATTGCGAAACGGAAATTGCCCGAGTAGCGGGGAAAGACTAGAAGTCAGACTGCAAAGAGTTTCATTTTAGGGAAGTTCCTCAGTTGTCTTCTATTTTCTGTTTTCCCAGAATACCTCTTGTGTCAAGGGATTTCTTCTGGATGGAAGAGCATCGAGTCCTTTAAGAACAGCCTAGAGAAAAGGTGAGAACCTTGCAATATTCTTTGCCTTCTTTTCTCTTGCAGTATACTGATGGTAAATGTTAGAGGGCTATAATTTGGAAGACTGATGATCAGCCCCTAAGACTAGCAAGCTGCAGTCAATGATGAAATAGGCTATACCACAGTTTTCAGTCGGCAGAGACAGCACCTAAGCCTAGCAAGCTGCTGCCGACAAGTAGGCCCAGGAATAATCTTTCTGACATTGCGATGAGTGAAACTGATGGTAAATGTTAAAGGGCTATAAATAGGAAGACTGATGATCAGCCCCTAAGACTAGCAAGCTGCAGTCACTGATGAAATAGGCTGTGTGTAGAGTGGGCAGAAACAGCACCTAAGAGTAGCAAAGCTGCTGCCCACTATAAAACCGCAGTAGATGAAGATTGGTCTGTGATCAGAGGGGAGGGGTGGATGGGAACTACTGTAGCTGACACTATGCAAGTGAAAGATAGGTGGTTATCTTGTCGACGTATTGAATAACATAATATGTATTCTGGCAATGACTGTCGTGGTGAGTATTTCAGACACCGTTGGTTTCATTTCCCTTTGCGAAGTTCAACATTTCTCCTTTTTCCTGTTTGAGCTGGCCATGTAAGTTGGCCCATTGTTGTTTTTGAACTTCGCTGAAATTTGCATGCAAATTTTCTCCACAGCTTGTCGGGTGTTTAAAATGTCGCAAAAGAATAATAGAATTCTCTTAACTTGAGAGGTTTGAAACTATAAAATTTTGAAACGATGACTTAATTGATGCTAAGTGGCAGTGCCAATAATCTAGCCTATGAGTAAACTTGAAGCCAATCTTGTGTTGCTTTGGAATTGACTGCATAAGCCCCTAATCTCAGCAAGCTGCAGTCAATGATGAAATAGAATTGTGCATCTACAGTACAGCAGGCAGAGACAGCACCTAAGTTTAGAAAGCTGCTGCCTGCAGAACCTGAAGAGGTGAAGATTGTTGGCTTTACTTTGACTGGCGACCTGCTCTGCGTAAAATACAAAGACATTACTACGAGGCTAAAGCAGTTGCAGTTTTCTTGTAGACATTTCAAAGTCCACTCATGGAAGGCTAGGCCATAACCGTTGCCAGAAACACCACCTTGGACTGGTAGTAACCCCATGCCTTTGTATGAATTCTTTTTCCGAGAGCGGATGCTGAGGACTCATGCCCTTCCCCCTACCAGCCGCGGAGGACCCAAAGGGAAGCGTCTCTAACGGACCACAAAGGTTAGTTTTTGTTGCAGTGTCCGAAGAGGAAGTAAAAGATGGGTTGGGTGTGGTGGAATTGGAAAGTTTTCCAAAGACTGAAAATCCCGTGCTAAAATACGATCCCTTCTGTTGTAACTAGAACGGTAGTGACGCACATTCTGACGTCTGTAGATATTCCATTTTCTGGAGCGTACCGGTATCCTACCTACCGTGTGACCTTGTATTTTTCCACAAGCATTGCTCTCCGTTAAAACATAGCTCCTAATTCTGCGGCTGGAGGGAGAGTGCAAGTTAACTTGAGCGAGATGCGGCTAAAGCGTAGAAATCAAGGTGTAAAGACTGCTACAGTAGTTTTCTCCCGCTTTCTGTTTTCTCAGAGTACATGGTGTTTCAAGAGATGTATTCCGGAACATCCTCGAGTCATGCAGGACCAGCCAAGAGAAAAGGTGAGAATGGCTAGGTTATTTGTCTTCTTTGCTTTTCAAGTACGTTGATGTGAGTGGAGAGTATTATTATGCGTGGGAAAAACTACAGTTTTCTGTGAGAAATTACGGCAACGCATGTTCTGAAATGTTTCCATATTTCGGTTTCTTTAACTTGGCGCTCCTACGGAGGGATCCGTTTCTTGAGAGCGCCCTACCTTCCTCATGACCTCGTATTTTTCCACAAGCGCTGTACTCCGCGGAAACCTAGTTCTATTGCGAAACGGAAATTGCCCGAGTAGCGGGGAAAGACTAGAAGTCAGACTGCAAAGAGTTTCATTTTAGGGAAGTTCCTCAGTTGTCTTCTATTTTCTGTTTTCCCAGAATACCTCTTGTGTCAAGGGATTTCTTCTGGATGGAAGAGCATCGAGTCCTTTAAGAACAGCCTAGAGAAAAGGTGAGAACCTTGCAATATTCTTTGCCTTCTTTTCTCTTGCAGTATACTGATGGTAAATGTTAGAGGGCTATAATTTGGAAGACTGATGATCAGCCCCTAAGACTAGCAAGCTGCAGTCAATGATGAAATAGGCTATACCACAGTTTTCAGTCGGCAGAGACAGCACCTAAGCCTAGCAAGCTGCTGCCGACAAGTAGGCCCAGGAATAATCTTTCTGACATTGCGATGAGTGAAACTGATGGTAAATGTTAAAGGGCTATAAATAGGAAGACTGATGATCAGCCCCTAAGACTAGCAAGCTGCAGTCACTGATGAAATAGGCTGTGTGTAGAGTGGGCAGAAACAGCACCTAAGAGTAGCAAAGCTGCTGCCCACTATAAAACCGCAGTAGATGAAGATTGGTCTGTGATCAGAGGGGAGGGGTGGATGGGAACTACTGTAGCTGACACTATGCAAGTGAAAGATAGGTGGTTATCTTGTCGACGTATTGAATAACATAATATGTATTCTGGCAATGACTGTCGTGGTGAGTATTTCAGACACCGTTGGTTTCATTTCCCTTTGCGAAGTTCAACATTTCTCCTTTTTCCTGTTTGAGCTGGCCATGTAAGTTGGCCCATTGTTGTTTTTGAACTTCGCTGAAATTTGCATGCAAATTTTCTCCACAGCTTGTCGGGTGTTTAAAATGTCGCAAAAGAATAATAGAATTCTCTTAACTTGAGAGGTTTGAAACTATAAAATTTTGAAACGATGACTTAATTGATGCTAAGTGGCAGTGCCAATAATCTAGCCTATGAGTAAACTTGAAGCCAATCTTGTGTTGCTTTGGAATTGACTGCATAAGCCCCTAATCTCAGCAAGCTGCAGTCAATGATGAAATAGAATTGTGCATCTACAGTACAGCAGGCAGAGACAGCACCTAAAGTTTAGAAAGCTGCTGCCTGCAGAACCTGAAGAGGTGAAGATTGTTGGCTTTACTTTGACTGGCGACCTGCTCTGCGTAAAATACAAAGACATTACTACGAGGCTAAAGCAGTTGCAGTTTTCTTGTAGACATTTCAAAGTCCACTCATGGAAGGCTAGGCCATAACCGTTGCCAGAAACACCACCTTGGACTGGTAGTAACCCCATGCCTTTGTATGAATTCTTTTTCCGAGAGCGGATGCTGAGGACTCATGCCCTTCCCCCTACCAGCCGCGGAGGACCCAAAGGGAAGCGTCTCTAACGGACCACAAAGGTTAGTTTTTGTTGCAGTGTCCGAAGAGGAAGTAAAAGATGGGTTGGGTGTGGTGGAATTGGAAAGTTTTCCAAAGACTGAAAATCCCGTGCTAAAATACGATCCCTTCTGTTGTAACTAGAACGGTAGTGACGCACATTCTGACGTCTGTAGATATTCCATTTTCTGGAGCGTACCGGTATCCTACCTACCGTGTGACCTTGTATTTTTCCACAAGCATTGCTCTCCGTTAAAACATAGCTCCTAATTCTGCGGCTGGAGGGAGAGTGCAAGTTAACTTGAGCGAGATGCGGCTAAAGCGTAGAAATCAAGGTGTAAAGACTGCTACAGTAGTTTTCTCCCGCTTTCTGTTTTCTCAGAGTACATGGTGTTTCAAGAGATGTATTCCGGAACATCCTCGAGTCATGCAGGACCAGCCAAGAGAAAAGGTGAGAATGGCTAGGTTATTTGTCTTCTTTGCTTTTCAAGTACGTTGATGTGAGTGGAGAGTATTATTATGCGTGGGAAAAACTACAGTTTTCTGTGAGAAATTACGGCAACGCATGTTCTGAAATGTTTCCATATTTCGGTTTCTTTAACTTGGCGCTCCTACGGAGGGATCCGTTTCTTGAGAGCGCCCTACCTTCCTCATGACCTCGTATTTTTCCACAAGCGCTGTACTCCGCGGAAACCTAGTTCTATTGCGAAGAAACGGAAATTGCCCGAGTAGCGGGGAAAGACTAGAAGTCAGACTGCAAAGAGTTTCATTTTAGGGAAGTTCCTCAGTTGTCTTCTATTTTCTGTTTTCCCAGAATACCTCTTGTGTCAAGGGATTTCTTCTGGATGGAAGAGCATCGAGTCCTTTAAGAACAGCCTAGAGAAAAGGTGAGAACCTTGCAATATTCTTTGCCTTCTTTTCTCTTGCAGTATACTGATGGTAAATGTTAGAGGGCTATAATTTGGAAGACTGATGATCAGCCCCTAAGACTAGCAAGCTGCAGTCAATGATGAAATAGGCTATACCACAGTTTTCAGTCGGCAGAGACAGCACCTAAGCCTAGCAAGCTGCTGCCGACAAGTAGGCCCAGGAATAATCTTTCTGACATTGCGATGAGTGAAACTGATGGTAAATGTTAAAGGGCTATAAATAGGAAGACTGATGATCAGCCCCTAAGACTAGCAAGCTGCAGTCACTGATGAAATAGGCTGTGTGTAGAGTGGGCAGAAACAGCACCTAAGAGTAGCAAAGCTGCTGCCCACTATAAAACCGCAGTAGATGAAGATTGGTCTGTGATCAGAGGGGAGGGGTGGATGGGAACTACTGTAGCTGACACTATGCAAGTGAAAGATAGGTGGTTATCTTGTCGACGTATTGAATAACATAATATGTATTCTGGCAATGACTGTCGTGGTGAGTATTTCAGACACCGTTGGTTTCATTTCCCTTTGCGAAGTTCAACATTTCTCCTTTTTCCTGTTTGAGCTGGCCATGTAAGTTGGCCCATTGTTGTTTTTGAACTTCGCTGAAATTTGCATGCAAATTTTCTCCACAGCTTGTCGGGTGTTTAAAATGTCGCAAAAGAATAATAGAATTCTCTTAACTTGAGAGGTTTGAAACTATAAAATTTTGAAACGATGACTTAATTGATGCTAAGTGGCAGTGCCAATAATCTAGCCTATGAGTAAACTTGAAGCCAATCTTGTGTTGCTTTGGAATTGACTGCATAAGCCCCTAATCTCAGCAAGCTGCAGTCAATGATGAAATAGAATTGTGCATCTACAGTACAGCAGGCAGAGACAGCACCTAAAGTTTAGAAAGCTGCTGCCTGCAGAACCTGAAGAGGTGAAGATTGTTGGCTTTACTTTGACTGGCGACCTGCTCTGCGTAAAATACAAAGACATTACTACGAGGCTAAAGCAGTTGCAGTTTTCTTGTAGACATTTCAAAGTCCACTCATGGAAGGCTAGGCCATAACCGTTGCCAGAAACACCACCTTGGACTGGTAGTAACCCCATGCCTTTGTATGAATTCTTTTTCCGAGAGCGGATGCTGAGGACTCATGCCCTTCCCCCTACCAGCCGCGGAGGACCCAAAGGGAAGCGTCTCTAACGGACCACAAAGGTTAGTTTTTGTTGCAGTGTCCGAAGAGGAAGTAAAAGATGGGTTGGGTGTGGTGGAATTGGAAAGTTTTCCAAAGACTGAAAATCCCGTGCTAAAATACGATCCCTTCTGTTGTAACTAGAACGGTAGTGACGCACATTCTGACGTCTGTAGATATTCCATTTTCTGGAGCGTACCGGTATCCTACCTACCGTGTGACCTTGTATTTTTCCACAAGCATTGCTCTCCGTTAAAACATAGCTCCTAATTCTGCGGCTGGAGGGAGAGTGCAAGTTAACTTGAGCGAGATGCGGCTAAAGCGTAGAAATCAAGGTGTAAAGACTGCTACAGTAGTTTTCTCCCGCTTTCTGTTTTCTCAGAGTACATGGTGTTTCAAGAGATGTATTCCGGAACATCCTCGAGTCATGCAGGACCAGCCAAGAGAAAAGGTGAGAATGGCTAGGTTATTTGTCTTCTTTGCTTTTCAAGTACGTTGATGTGAGTGGAGAGTATTATTATGCGTGGGAAAAACTACAGTTTTCTGTGAGAAATTACGGCAACGCATGTTCTGAAATGTTTCCATATTTCGGTTTCTTTAACTTGGCGCTCCTACGGAGGGATCCGTTTCTTGAGAGCGCCCTACCTTCCTCATGACCTCGTATTTTTCCACAAGCGCTGTACTCCGCGGAAACCTAGTTCTATTGCGAAACGGAAATTGCCCGAGTAGCGGGGAAAGACTAGAAGTCAGACTGCAAAGAGTTTCATTTTAGGGAAGTTCCTCAGTTGTCTTCTATTTTCTGTTTTCCCAGAATACCTCTTGTGTCAAGGGATTTCTTCTGGATGGAAGAGCATCGAGTCCTTTAAGAACAGCCTAGAGAAAAGGTGAGAACCTTGCAATATTCTTTGCCTTCTTTTCTCTTGCAGTATACTGATGGTAAATGTTAGAGGGCTAGGGCTATTTTGGAAGACTGATGATCAGCCCCTAAGACTAGCAAGCTGCAGTCAATGATGAAATAGGCTATACCACAGTTTTCAGTCGGCAGAGACAGCACCTAAGCCTAGCAAGCTGCTGCCGACAAGTAGGCCCAGGAATAATCTTTCTGACATTGCGATGAGTGAAACTGATGGTAAATGTTAAAGGGCTATAAATAGGAAGACTGATGATCAGCCCCTAAGACTAGCAAGCTGCAGTCACTGATGAAATAGGCTGTGTGTAGAGTGGGCAGAAACAGCACCTAAGAGTAGCAAAGCTGCTGCCCACTATAAAACCGCAGTAGATGAAGATTGGTCTGTGATCAGAGGGGAGGGGTGGATGGGAACTACTGTAGCTGACACTATGCAAGTGAAAGATAGGTGGTTATCTTGTCGACGTATTGAATAACATAATATGTATTCTGGCAATGACTGTCGTGGTGAGTATTTCAGACACCGTTGGTTTCATTTCCCTTTGCGAAGTTCAACATTTCTCCTTTTTCCTGTTTGAGCTGGCCATGTAAGTTGGCCCATTGTTGTTTTTGAACTTCGCTGAAATTTGCATGCAAATTTTCTCCACAGCTTGTCGGGTGTTTAAAATGTCGCAAAAGAATAATAGAATTCTCTTAACTTGAGAGGTTTGAAACTATAAAATTTTGAAACGATGACTTAATTGATGCTAAGTGGCAGTGCCAATAATCTAGCCTATGAGTAAACTTGAAGCCAATCTTGTGTTGCTTAGGAATTGACTGCATAAGCCCCTAATCTCAGCAAGCTGCAGTCAATGATGAAATAGAATTGTGCATCTACAGTACAGCAGGCAGAGACAGCACCTAAGTTTAGAAAGCTGCTGCCTGCAGAACCTGAAGAGGTGAAGATTGTTGGCTTTACTTTGACTGGCGACCTGCTCTGCGTAAAATACAAAGACATTACTACGAGGCTAAAGCAGTTGCAGTTTTCTTGTAGACATTTCAAAGTCCACTCATGGAAGGCTAGGCCATAACCGTTGCCAGAAACACCACCTTGGACTGGTAGTAACCCCATGCCTTTGTATGAATTCTTTTTCCGAGAGCGGATGCTGAGGACTCATGCCCTTCCCCCTACCAGCCGCGGAGGACCCAAAGGGAAGCGTCTCTAACGGACCACAAAGGTTAGTTTTTGTTGCAGTGTCCGAAGAGGAAGTAAAAGATGGGTTGGGTGTGGTGGAATTGGAAAGTTTTCCAAAGACTGAAAATCCCGTGCTAAAATACGATCCCTTCTGTTGTAACTAGAACGGTAGTGACGCACATTCTGACGTCTGTAGATATTCCATTTTCTGGAGCGTACCGGTATCCTACCTACCGTGTGACCTTGTATTTTTCCACAAGCATTGCTCTCCGTTAAAACATAGCTCCTAATTCTGCGGCTGGAGGGAGAGTGCAAGTTAACTTGAGCGAGATGCGGCTAAAGCGTAGAAATCAAGGTGTAAAGACTGCTACAGTAGTTTTCTCCCGCTTTCTGTTTTCTCAGAGTACATGGTGTTTCAAGAGATGTATTCCGGAACATCCTCGAGTCATGCAGGACCAGCCAAGAGAAAAGGTGAGAATGGCTAGGTTATTTGTCTTCTTTGCTTTTCAAGTACGTTGATGTGAGTGGAGAGTATTATTATGCGTGGGAAAAACTACAGTTTTCTGTGAGAAATTACGGCAACGCATGTTCTGAAATGTTTCCATATTTCGGTTTCTTTAACTTGGCGCTCCTACGGAGGGATCCGTTTCTTGAGAGCGCCCTACCTTCCTCATGACCTCGTATTTTTCCACAAGCGCTGTACTCCGCGGAAACCTAGTTCTATTGCGAAACGGAAATTGCCCGAGTAGCGGGGAAAGACTAGAAGTCAGACTGCAAAGAGTTTCATTTTAGGGAAGTTCCTCAGTTGTCTTCTATTTTCTGTTTTCCCAGAATACCTCTTGTGTCAAGGGATTTCTTCTGGATGGAAGAGCATCGAGTCCTTTAAGAACAGCCTAGAGAAAAGGTGAGAACCTTGCAATATTCTTTGCCTTCTTTTCTCTTGCAGTATACTGATGGTAAATGTTAGAGGGCTATAATTTGGAAGACTGATGATCAGCCCCTAAGACTAGCAAGCTGCAGTCAATGATGAAATAGGCTATACCACAGTTTTCAGTCGGCAGAGACAGCACCTAAGCCTAGCAAGCTGCTGCCGACAAGTAGGCCCAGGAATAATCTTTCTGACATTGCGATGAGTGAAACTGATGGTAAATGTTAAAGGGCTATAAATAGGAAGACTGATGATCAGCCCCTAAGACTAGCAAGCTGCAGTCACTGATGAAATAGGCTGTGTGTAGAGTGGGCAGAAACAGCACCTAAGAGTAGCAAAGCTGCTGCCCACTATAAAACCGCAGTAGATGAAGATTGGTCTGTGATCAGAGGGGAGGGGTGGATGGGAACTACTGTAGCTGACACTATGCAAGTGAAAGATAGGTGGTTATCTTGTCGACGTATTGAATAACATAATATGTATTCTGGCAATGACTGTCGTGGTGAGTATTTCAGACACCGTTGGTTTCATTTCCCTTTGCGAAGTTCAACATTTCTCCTTTTTCCTGTTTGAGCTGGCCATGTAAGTTGGCCCATTGTTGTTTTTGAACTTCGCTGAAATTTGCATGCAAATTTTCTCCACAGCTTGTCGGGTGTTTAAAATGTCGCAAAAGAATAATAGAATTCTCTTAACTTGAGAGGTTTGAAACTATAAAATTTTGAAACGATGACTTAATTGATGCTAAGTGGCAGTGCCAATAATCTAGCCTATGAGTAAACTTGAAGCCAATCTTGTGTTGCTTAGGAATTGACTGCATAAGCCCCTAATCTCAGCAAGCTGCAGTCAATGATGAAATAGAATTGTGCATCTACAGTACAGCAGGCAGAGACAGCACCTAAGTTTAGAAAGCTGCTGCCTGCAGAACCTGAAGAGGTGAAGATTGTTGGCTTTACTTTGACTGGCGACCTGCTCTGCGTAAAATACAAAGACATTACTACGAGGCTAAAGCAGTTGCAGTTTTCTTGTAGACATTTCAAAGTCCACTCATGGAAGGCTAGGCCATAACCGTTGCCAGAAACACCACCTTGGACTGGTAGTAACCCCATGCCTTTGTATGAATTCTTTTTCCGAGAGCGGATGCTGAGGACTCATGCCCTTCCCCCTACCAGCCGCGGAGGACCCAAAGGGAAGCGTCTCTAACGGACCACAAAGGTTAGTTTTTGTTGCAGTGTCCGAAGAGGAAGTAAAAGATGGGTTGGGTGTGGTGGAATTGGAAAGTTTTCCAAAGACTGAAAATCCCGTGCTAAAATACGATCCCTTCTGTTGTAACTAGAACGGTAGTGACGCACATTCTGACGTCTGTAGATATTCCATTTTCTGGAGCGTACCGGTATCCTACCTACCGTGTGACCTTGTATTTTTCCACAAGCATTGCTCTCCGTTAAAACATAGCTCCTAATTCTGCGGCTGGAGGGAGAGTGCAAGTTAACTTGAGCGAGATGCGGCTAAAGCGTAGAAATCAAGGTGTAAAGACTGCTACAGTAGTTTTCTCCCGCTTTCTGTTTTCTCAGAGTACATGGTGTTTCAAGAGATGTATTCCGGAACATCCTCGAGTCATGCAGGACCAGCCAAGAGAAAAGGTGAGAATGGCTAGGTTATTTGTCTTCTTTGCTTTTCAAGTACGTTGATGTGAGTGGAGAGTATTATTATGCGTGGGAAAAACTACAGTTTTCTGTGAGAAATTACGGCAACGCATGTTCTGAAATGTTTCCATATTTCGGTTTCTTTAACTTGGCGCTCCTACGGAGGGATCCGTTTCTTGAGAGCGCCCTACCTTCCTCATGACCTCGTATTTTTCCACAAGCGCTGTACTCCGCGGAAACCTAGTTCTATTGCGAAACGGAAATTGCCCGAGTAGCGGGGAAAGACTAGAAGTCAGACTGCAAAGAGTTTCATTTTAGGGAAGTTCCTCAGTTGTCTTCTATTTTCTGTTTTCCCAGAATACCTCTTGTGTCAAGGGATTTCTTCTGGATGGAAGAGCATCGAGTCCTTTAAGAACAGCCTAGAGAAAAGGTGAGAACCTTGCAATATTCTTTGCCTTCTTTTCTCTTGCAGTATACTGATGGTAAATGTTAGAGGGCTATAATTTGGAAGACTGATGATCAGCCCCTAAGACTAGCAAGCTGCAGTCAATGATGAAATAGGCTATACCACAGTTTTCAGTCGGCAGAGACAGCACCTAAGCCTAGCAAGCTGCTGCCGACAAGTAGGCCCAGGAATAATCTTTCTGACATTGCGATGAGTGAAACTGATGGTAAATGTTAAAGGGCTATAAATAGGAAGACTGATGATCAGCCCCTAAGACTAGCAAGCTGCAGTCACTGATGAAATAGGCTGTGTGTAGAGTGGGCAGAAACAGCACCTAAGAGTAGCAAAGCTGCTGCCCACTATAAAACCGCAGTAGATGAAGATTGGTCTGTGATCAGAGGGGAGGGGTGGATGGGAACTACTGTAGCTGACACTATGCAAGTGAAAGATAGGTGGTTATCTTGTCGACGTATTGAATAACATAATATGTATTCTGGCAATGACTGTCGTGGTGAGTATTTCAGACACCGTTGGTTTCATTTCCCTTTGCGAAGTTCAACATTTCTCCTTTTTCCTGTTTGAGCTGGCCATGTAAGTTGGCCCATTGTTGTTTTTGAACTTCGCTGAAATTTGCATGCAAATTTTCTCCACAGCTTGTCGGGTGTTTAAAATGTCGCAAAAGAATAATAGAATTCTCTTAACTTGAGAGGTTTGAAACTATAAAATTTTGAAACGATGACTTAATTGATGCTAAGTGGCAGTGCCAATAATCTAGCCTATGAGTAAACTTGAAGCCAATCTTGTGTTGCTTTGGAATTGACTGCATAAGCCCCTAATCTCAGCAAGCTGCAGTCAATGATGAAATAGAATTGTGCATCTACAGTACAGCAGGCAGAGACAGCACCTAAAGTTTAGAAAGCTGCTGCCTGCAGAACCTGAAGAGGTGAAGATTGTTGGCTTTACTTTGACTGGCGACCTGCTCTGCGTAAAATACAAAGACATTACTACGAGGCTAAAGCAGTTGCAGTTTTCTTGTAGACATTTCAAAGTCCACTCATGGAAGGCTAGGCCATAACCGTTGCCAGAAACACCACCTTGGACTGGTAGTAACCCCATGCCTTTGTATGAATTCTTTTTCCGAGAGCGGATGCTGAGGACTCATGCCCTTCCCCCTACCAGCCGCGGAGGACCCAAAGGGAAGCGTCTCTAACGGACCACAAAGGTTAGTTTTTGTTGCAGTGTCCGAAGAGGAAGTAAAAGATGGGTTGGGTGTGGTGGAATTGGAAAGTTTTCCAAAGACTGAAAATCCCGTGCTAAAATACGATCCCTTCTGTTGTAACTAGAACGGTAGTGACGCACATTCTGACGTCTGTAGATATTCCATTTTCTGGAGCGTACCGGTATCCTACCTACCGTGTGACCTTGTATTTTTCCACAAGCATTGCTCTCCGTTAAAACATAGCTCCTAATTCTGCGGCTGGAGGGAGAGTGCAAGTTAACTTGAGCGAGATGCGGCTAAAGCGTAGAAATCAAGGTGTAAAGACTGCTACAGTAGTTTTCTCCCGCTTTCTGTTTTCTCAGAGTACATGGTGTTTCAAGAGATGTATTCCGGAACATCCTCGAGTCATGCAGGACCAGCCAAGAGAAAAGGTGAGAATGGCTAGGTTATTTGTCTTCTTTGCTTTTCAAGTACGTTGATGTGAGTGGAGAGTATTATTATGCGTGGGAAAAACTACAGTTTTCTGTGAGAAATTACGGCAACGCATGTTCTGAAATGTTTCCATATTTCGGTTTCTTTAACTTGGCGCTCCTACGGAGGGATCCGTTTCTTGAGAGCGCCCTACCTTCCTCATGACCTCGTATTTTTCCACAAGCGCTGTACTCCGCGGAAACCTAGTTCTATTGCGAAACGGAAATTGCCCGAGTAGCGGGGAAAGACTAGAAGTCAGACTGCAAAGAGTTTCATTTTAGGGAAGTTCCTCAGTTGTCTTCTATTTTCTGTTTTCCCAGAATACCTCTTGTGTCAAGGGATTTCTTCTGGATGGAAGAGCATCGAGTCCTTTAAGAACAGCCTAGAGAAAAGGTGAGAACCTTGCAATATTCTTTGCCTTCTTTTCTCTTGCAGTATACTGATGGTAAATGTTAGAGGGCTATAATTTGGAAGACTGATGATCAGCCCCTAAGACTAGCAAGCTGCAGTCAATGATGAAATAGGCTATACCACAGTTTTCAGTCGGCAGAGACAGCACCTAAGCCTAGCAAGCTGCTGCCGACAAGTAGGCCCAGGAATAATCTTTCTGACATTGCGATGAGTGAAACTGATGGTAAATGTTAAAGGGCTATAAATAGGAAGACTGATGATCAGCCCCTAAGACTAGCAAGCTGCAGTCACTGATGAAATAGGCTGTGTGTAGAGTGGGCAGAAACAGCACCTAAGAGTAGCAAAGCTGCTGCCCACTATAAAACCGCAGTAGATGAAGATTGGTCTGTGATCAGAGGGGAGGGGTGGATGGGAACTACTGTAGCTGACACTATGCAAGTGAAAGATAGGTGGTTATCTTGTCGACGTATTGAATAACATAATATGTATTCTGGCAATGACTGTCGTGGTGAGTATTTCAGACACCGTTGGTTTCATTTCCCTTTGCGAAGTTCAACATTTCTCCTTTTTCCTGTTTGAGCTGGCCATGTAAGTTGGCCCATTGTTGTTTTTGAACTTCGCTGAAATTTGCATGCAAATTTTCTCCACAGCTTGTCGGGTGTTTAAAATGTCGCAAAAGAATAATAGAATTCTCTTAACTTGAGAGGTTTGAAACTATAAAATTTTGAAACGATGACTTAATTGATGCTAAGTGGCAGTGCCAATAATCTAGCCTATGAGTAAACTTGAAGCCAATCTTGTGTTGCTTTGGAATTGACTGCATAAGCCCCTAATCTCAGCAAGCTGCAGTCAATGATGAAATAGAATTGTGCATCTACAGTACAGCAGGCAGAGACAGCACCTAAAGTTTAGAAAGCTGCTGCCTGCAGAACCTGAAGAGGTGAAGATTGTTGGCTTTACTTTGACTGGCGACCTGCTCTGCGTAAAATACAAAGACATTACTACGAGGCTAAAGCAGTTGCAGTTTTCTTGTAGACATTTCAAAGTCCACTCATGGAAGGCTAGGCCATAACCGTTGCCAGAAACACCACCTTGGACTGGTAGTAACCCCATGCCTTTGTATGAATTCTTTTTCCGAGAGCGGATGCTGAGGACTCATGCCCTTCCCCCTACCAGCCGCGGAGGACCCAAAGGGAAGCGTCTCTAACGGACCACAAAGGTTAGTTTTTGTTGCAGTGTCCGAAGAGGAAGTAAAAGATGGGTTGGGTGTGGTGGAATTGGAAAGTTTTCCAAAGACTGAAAATCCCGTGCTAAAATACGATCCCTTCTGTTGTAACTAGAACGGTAGTGACGCACATTCTGACGTCTGTAGATATTCCATTTTCTGGAGCGTACCGGTATCCTACCTACCGTGTGACCTTGTATTTTTCCACAAGCATTGCTCTCCGTTAAAACATAGCTCCTAATTCTGCGGCTGGAGGGAGAGTGCAAGTTAACTTGAGCGAGATGCGGCTAAAGCGTAGAAATCAAGGTGTAAAGACTGCTACAGTAGTTTTCTCCCGCTTTCTGTTTTCTCAGAGTACATGGTGTTTCAAGAGATGTATTCCGGAACATCCTCGAGTCATGCAGGACCAGCCAAGAGAAAAGGTGAGAATGGCTAGGTTATTTGTCTTCTTTGCTTTTCAAGTACGTTGATGTGAGTGGAGAGTATTATTATGCGTGGGAAAAACTACAGTTTTCTGTGAGAAATTACGGCAACGCATGTTCTGAAATGTTTCCATATTTCGGTTTCTTTAACTTGGCGCTCCTACGGAGGGATCCGTTTCTTGAGAGCGCCCTACCTTCCTCATGACCTCGTATTTTTCCACAAGCGCTGTACTCCGCGGAAACCTAGTTCTATTGCGAAACGGAAATTGCCCGAGTAGCGGGGAAAGACTAGAAGTCAGACTGCAAAGAGTTTCATTTTAGGGAAGTTCCTCAGTTGTCTTCTATTTTCTGTTTTCCCAGAATACCTCTTGTGTCAAGGGATTTCTTCTGGATGGAAGAGCATCGAGTCCTTTAAGAACAGCCTAGAGAAAAGGTGAGAACCTTGCAATATTCTTTGCCTTCTTTTCTCTTGCAGTATACTGATGGTAAATGTTAGAGGGCTATAATTTGGAAGACTGATGATCAGCCCCTAAGACTAGCAAGCTGCAGTCAATGATGAAATAGGCTATACCACAGTTTTCAGTCGGCAGAGACAGCACCTAAGCCTAGCAAGCTGCTGCCGACAAGTAGGCCCAGGAATAATCTTTCTGACATTGCGATGAGTGAAACTGATGGTAAATGTTAAAGGGCTATAAATAGGAAGACTGATGATCAGCCCCTAAGACTAGCAAGCTGCAGTCACTGATGAAATAGGCTGTGTGTAGAGTGGGCAGAAACAGCACCTAAGAGTAGCAAAGCTGCTGCCCACTATAAAACCGCAGTAGATGAAGATTGGTCTGTGATCAGAGGGGAGGGGTGGATGGGAACTACTGTAGCTGACACTATGCAAGTGAAAGATAGGTGGTTATCTTGTCGACGTATTGAATAACATAATATGTATTCTGGCAATGACTGTCGTGGTGAGTATTTCAGACACCGTTGGTTTCATTTCCCTTTGCGAAGTTCAACATTTCTCCTTTTTCCTGTTTGAGCTGGCCATGTAAGTTGGCCCATTGTTGTTTTTGAACTTCGCTGAAATTTGCATGCAAATTTTCTCCACAGCTTGTCGGGTGTTTAAAATGTCGCAAAAGAATAATAGAATTCTCTTAACTTGAGAGGTTTGAAACTATAAAATTTTGAAACGATGACTTAATTGATGCTAAGTGGCAGTGCCAATAATCTAGCCTATGAGTAAACTTGAAGCCAATCTTGTGTTGCTTTGGAATTGACTGCATAAGCCCCTAATCTCAGCAAGCTGCAGTCAATGATGAAATAGAATTGTGCATCTACAGTACAGCAGGCAGAGACAGCACCTAAGTTTAGAAAGCTGCTGCCTGCAGAACCTGAAGAGGTGAAGATTGTTGGCTTTACTTTGACTGGCGACCTGCTCTGCGTAAAATACAAAGACATTACTACGAGGCTAAAGCAGTTGCAGTTTTCTTGTAGACATTTCAAAGTCCACTCATGGAAGGCTAGGCCATAACCGTTGCCAGAAACACCACCTTGGACTGGTAGTAACCCCATGCCTTTGTATGAATTCTTTTTCCGAGAGCGGATGCTGAGGACTCATGCCCTTCCCCCTACCAGCCGCGGAGGACCCAAAGGGAAGCGTCTCTAACGGACCACAAAGGTTAGTTTTTGTTGCAGTGTCCGAAGAGGAAGTAAAAGATGGGTTGGGTGTGGTGGAATTGGAAAGTTTTCCAAAGACTGAAAATCCCGTGCTAAAATACGATCCCTTCTGTTGTAACTAGAACGGTAGTGACGCACATTCTGACGTCTGTAGATATTCCATTTTCTGGAGCGTACCGGTATCCTACCTACCGTGTGACCTTGTATTTTTCCACAAGCATTGCTCTCCGTTAAAACATAGCTCCTAATTCTGCGGCTGGAGGGAGAGTGCAAGTTAACTTGAGCGAGATGCGGCTAAAGCGTAGAAATCAAGGTGTAAAGACTGCTACAGTAGTTTTCTCCCGCTTTCTGTTTTCTCAGAGTACATGGTGTTTCAAGAGATGTATTCCGGAACATCCTCGAGTCATGCAGGACCAGCCAAGAGAAAAGGTGAGAATGGCTAGGTTATTTGTCTTCTTTGCTTTTCAAGTACGTTGATGTGAGTGGAGAGTATTATTATGCGTGGGAAAAACTACAGTTTTCTGTGAGAAATTACGGCAACGCATGTTCTGAAATGTTTCCATATTTCGGTTTCTTTAACTTGGCGCTCCTACGGAGGGATCCGTTTCTTGAGAGCGCCCTACCTTCCTCATGACCTCGTATTTTTCCACAAGCGCTGTACTCCGCGGAAACCTAGTTCTATTGCGAAACGGAAATTGCCCGAGTAGCGGGGAAAGACTAGAAGTCAGACTGCAAAGAGTTTCATTTTAGGGAAGTTCCTCAGTTGTCTTCTATTTTCTGTTTTCCCAGAATACCTCTTGTGTCAAGGGATTTCTTCTGGATGGAAGAGCATCGAGTCCTTTAAGAACAGCCTAGAGAAAAGGTGAGAACCTTGCAATATTCTTTGCCTTCTTTTCTCTTGCAGTATACTGATGGTAAATGTTAGAGGGCTATAATTTGGAAGACTGATGATCAGCCCCTAAGACTAGCAAGCTGCAGTCAATGATGAAATAGGCTATACCACAGTTTTCAGTCGGCAGAGACAGCACCTAAGCCTAGCAAGCTGCTGCCGACAAGTAGGCCCAGGAATAATCTTTCTGACATTGCGATGAGTGAAACTGATGGTAAATGTTAAAGGGCTATAAATAGGAAGACTGATGATCAGCCCCTAAGACTAGCAAGCTGCAGTCACTGATGAAATAGGCTGTGTGTAGAGTGGGCAGAAACAGCACCTAAGAGTAGCAAAGCTGCTGCCCACTATAAAACCGCAGTAGATGAAGATTGGTCTGTGATCAGAGGGGAGGGGTGGATGGGAACTACTGTAGCTGACACTATGCAAGTGAAAGATAGGTGGTTATCTTGTCGACGTATTGAATAACATAATATGTATTCTGGCAATGACTGTCGTGGTGAGTATTTCAGACACCGTTGGTTTCATTTCCCTTTGCGAAGTTCAACATTTCTCCTTTTTCCTGTTTGAGCTGGCCATGTAAGTTGGCCCATTGTTGTTTTTGAACTTCGCTGAAATTTGCATGCAAATTTTCTCCACAGCTTGTCGGGTGTTTAAAATGTCGCAAAAGAATAATAGAATTCTCTTAACTTGAGAGGTTTGAAACTATAAAATTTTGAAACGATGACTTAATTGATGCTAAGTGGCAGTGCCAATAATCTAGCCTATGAGTAAACTTGAAGCCAATCTTGTGTTGCTTTGGAATTGACTGCATAAGCCCCTAATCTCAGCAAGCTGCAGTCAATGATGAAATAGAATTGTGCATCTACAGTACAGCAGGCAGAGACAGCACCTAAAGTTTAGAAAGCTGCTGCCTGCAGAACCTGAAGAGGTGAAGATTGTTGGCTTTACTTTGACTGGCGACCTGCTCTGCGTAAAATACAAAGACATTACTACGAGGCTAAAGCAGTTGCAGTTTTCTTGTAGACATTTCAAAGTCCACTCATGGAAGGCTAGGCCATAACCGTTGCCAGAAACACCACCTTGGACTGGTAGTAACCCCATGCCTTTGTATGAATTCTTTTTCCGAGAGCGGATGCTGAGGACTCATGCCCTTCCCCCTACCAGCCGCGGAGGACCCAAAGGGAAGCGTCTCTAACGGACCACAAAGGTTAGTTTTTGTTGCAGTGTCCGAAGAGGAAGTAAAAGATGGGTTGGGTGTGGTGGAATTGGAAAGTTTTCCAAAGACTGAAAATCCCGTGCTAAAATACGATCCCTTCTGTTGTAACTAGAACGGTAGTGACGCACATTCTGACGTCTGTAGATATTCCATTTTCTGGAGCGTACCGGTATCCTACCTACCGTGTGACCTTGTATTTTTCCACAAGCATTGCTCTCCGTTAAAACATAGCTCCTAATTCTGCGGCTGGAGGGAGAGTGCAAGTTAACTTGAGCGAGATGCGGCTAAAGCGTAGAAATCAAGGTGTAAAGACTGCTACAGTAGTTTTCTCCCGCTTTCTGTTTTCTCAGAGTACATGGTGTTTCAAGAGATGTATTCCGGAACATCCTCGAGTCATGCAGGACCAGCCAAGAGAAAAGGTGAGAATGGCTAGGTTATTTGTCTTCTTTGCTTTTCAAGTACGTTGATGTGAGTGGAGAGTATTATTATGCGTGGGAAAAACTACAGTTTTCTGTGAGAAATTACGGCAACGCATGTTCTGAAATGTTTCCATATTTCGGTTTCTTTAACTTGGCGCTCCTACGGAGGGATCCGTTTCTTGAGAGCGCCCTACCTTCCTCATGACCTCGTATTTTTCCACAAGCGCTGTACTCCGCGGAAACCTAGTTCTATTGCGAAACGGAAATTGCCCGAGTAGCGGGGAAAGACTAGAAGTCAGACTGCAAAGAGTTTCATTTTAGGGAAGTTCCTCAGTTGTCTTCTATTTTCTGTTTTCCCAGAATACCTCTTGTGTCAAGGGATTTCTTCTGGATGGAAGAGCATCGAGTCCTTTAAGAACAGCCTAGAGAAAAGGTGAGAACCTTGCAATATTCTTTGCCTTCTTTTCTCTTGCAGTATACTGATGGTAAATGTTAGAGGGCTATAATTTGGAAGACTGATGATCAGCCCCTAAGACTAGCAAGCTGCAGTCAATGATGAAATAGGCTATACCACAGTTTTCAGTCGGCAGAGACAGCACCTAAGCCTAGCAAGCTGCTGCCGACAAGTAGGCCCAGGAATAATCTTTCTGACATTGCGATGAGTGAAACTGATGGTAAATGTTAAAGGGCTATAAATAGGAAGACTGATGATCAGCCCCTAAGACTAGCAAGCTGCAGTCACTGATGAAATAGGCTGTGTGTAGAGTGGGCAGAAACAGCACCTAAGAGTAGCAAAGCTGCTGCCCACTATAAAACCGCAGTAGATGAAGATTGGTCTGTGATCAGAGGGGAGGGGTGGATGGGAACTACTGTAGCTGACACTATGCAAGTGAAAGATAGGTGGTTATCTTGTCGACGTATTGAATAACATAATATGTATTCTGGCAATGACTGTCGTGGTGAGTATTTCAGACACCGTTGGTTTCATTTCCCTTTGCGAAGTTCAACATTTCTCCTTTTTCCTGTTTGAGCTGGCCATGTAAGTTGGCCCATTGTTGTTTTTGAACTTCGCTGAAATTTGCATGCAAATTTTCTCCACAGCTTGTCGGGTGTTTAAAATGTCGCAAAAGAATAATAGAATTCTCTTAACTTGAGAGGTTTGAAACTATAAAATTTTGAAACGATGACTTAATTGATGCTAAGTGGCAGTGCCAATAATCTAGCCTATGAGTAAACTTGAAGCCAATCTTGTGTTGCTTTGGAATTGACTGCATAAGCCCCTAATCTCAGCAAGCTGCAGTCAATGATGAAATAGAATTGTGCATCTACAGTACAGCAGGCAGAGACAGCACCTAAAGTTTAGAAAGCTGCTGCCTGCAGAACCTGAAGAGGTGAAGATTGTTGGCTTTACTTTGACTGGCGACCTGCTCTGCGTAAAATACAAAGACATTACTACGAGGCTAAAGCAGTTGCAGTTTTCTTGTAGACATTTCAAAGTCCACTCATGGAAGGCTAGGCCATAACCGTTGCCAGAAACACCACCTTGGACTGGTAGTAACCCCATGCCTTTGTATGAATTCTTTTTCCGAGAGCGGATGCTGAGGACTCATGCCCTTCCCCCTACCAGCCGCGGAGGACCCAAAGGGAAGCGTCTCTAACGGACCACAAAGGTTAGTTTTTGTTGCAGTGTCCGAAGAGGAAGTAAAAGATGGGTTGGGTGTGGTGGAATTGGAAAGTTTTCCAAAGACTGAAAATCCCGTGCTAAAATACGATCCCTTCTGTTGTAACTAGAACGGTAGTGACGCACATTCTGACGTCTGTAGATATTCCATTTTCTGGAGCGTACCGGTATCCTACCTACCGTGTGACCTTGTATTTTTCCACAAGCATTGCTCTCCGTTAAAACATAGCTCCTAATTCTGCGGCTGGAGGGAGAGTGCAAGTTAACTTGAGCGAGATGCGGCTAAAGCGTAGAAATCAAGGTGTAAAGACTGCTACAGTAGTTTTCTCCCGCTTTCTGTTTTCTCAGAGTACATGGTGTTTCAAGAGATGTATTCCGGAACATCCTCGAGTCATGCAGGACCAGCCAAGAGAAAAGGTGAGAATGGCTAGGTTATTTGTCTTCTTTGCTTTTCAAGTACGTTGATGTGAGTGGAGAGTATTATTATGCGTGGGAAAAACTACAGTTTTCTGTGAGAAATTACGGCAACGCATGTTCTGAAATGTTTCCATATTTCGGTTTCTTTAACTTGGCGCTCCTACGGAGGGATCCGTTTCTTGAGAGCGCCCTACCTTCCTCATGACCTCGTATTTTTCCACAAGCGCTGTACTCCGCGGAAACCTAGTTCTATTGCGAAACGGAAATTGCCCGAGTAGCGGGGAAAGACTAGAAGTCAGACTGCAAAGAGTTTCATTTTAGGGAAGTTCCTCAGAATACCTCTTGTGTCAAGGGATTTCTTCTGGATGGAAGAGCATCGAGTCCTTTAAGAACAGCCTAGAGAAAAGGTGAGAACCTTGCAATATTCTTTGCCTTCTTTTCTCTTGCAGTATACTGATGGTAAATGTTAGAGGGCTATAATTTGGAAGACTGATGATCAGCCCCTAAGACTAGCAAGCTGCAGTCAATGATGAAATAGGCTATACCACAGTTTTCAGTCGGCAGAGACAGCACCTAAGCCTAGCAAGCTGCTGCCGACAAGTAGGCCCAGGAATAATCTTTCTGACATTGCGATGAGTGAAACTGATGGTAAATGTTAAAGGGCTATAAATAGGAAGACTGATGATCAGCCCCTAAGACTAGCAAGCTGCAGTCACTGATGAAATAGGCTGTGTGTAGAGTGGGCAGAAACAGCACCTAAGAGTAGCAAAGCTGCTGCCCACTATAAAACCGCAGTAGATGAAGATTGGTCTGTGATCAGAGGGGAGGGGTGGATGGGAACTACTGTAGCTGACACTATGCAAGTGAAAGATAGGTGGTTATCTTGTCGACGTATTGAATAACATAATATGTATTCTGGCAATGACTGTCGTGGTGAGTATTTCAGACACCGTTGGTTTCATTTCCCTTTGCGAAGTTCAACATTTCTCCTTTTTCCTGTTTGAGCTGGCCATGTAAGTTGGCCCATTGTTGTTTTTGAACTTCGCTGAAATTTGCATGCAAATTTTCTCCACAGCTTGTCGGGTGTTTAAAATGTCGCAAAAGAATAATAGAATTCTCTTAACTTGAGAGGTTTGAAACTATAAAATTTTGAAACGATGACTTAATTGATGCTAAGTGGCAGTGCCAATAATCTAGCCTATGAGTAAACTTGAAGCCAATCTTGTGTTGCTTTGGAATTGACTGCATAAGCCCCTAATCTCATCTGTAGATATTCCATTTTCTGGAGCGTACCGGTATCCTACCTACCGTGTGACCTTGTATTTTTCCACAAGCATTGCTCTCCGTTAAAACATAGCTCCTAATTCTGCGGCTGGAGGGAGAGTGCAAGTTAACTTGAGCGAGATGCGGCTAAAGCGTAGAAATCAAGGTGTAAAGACTGCTACAGTAGTTTTCTCCCGCTTTCTGTTTTCTCAGAGTACATGGTGTTTCAAGAGATGTATTCCGGAACATCCTCGAGTCATGCAGGACCAGCCAAGAGAAAAGGTGAGAATGGCTAGGTTATTTGTCTTCTTTGCTTTTCAAGTACGTTGATGTGAGTGGAGAGTATTATTATGCGTGGGAAAAACTACAGTTTTCTGTGAGAAATTACGGCAACGCATGTTCTGAAATGTTTCCATATTTCGGTTTCTTTAACTTGGCGCTCCTACGGAGGGATCCGTTTCTTGAGAGCGCCCTACCTTCCTCATGACCTCGTATTTTTCCACAAGCGCTGTACTCCGCGGAAACCTAGTTCTATTGCGAAACGGAAATTGCCCGAGTAGCGGGGAAAGACTAGAAGTCAGACTGCAAAGAGTTTCATTTTAGGGAAGTTCCTCAGTTGTCTTCTATTTTCTGTTTTCCCAGAATACCTCTTGTGTCAAGGGATTTCTTCTGGATGGAAGAGCATCGAGTCCTTTAAGAACAGCCTAGAGAAAAGGTGAGAACCTTGCAATATTCTTTGCCTTCTTTTCTCTTGCAGTATACTGATGGTAAATGTTAGAGGGCTATAATTTGGAAGACTGATGATCAGCCCCTAAGACTAGCAAGCTGCAGTCAATGATGAAATAGGCTATACCACAGTTTC